TTGAATGATTAAGAAAGAAGCTCACCTTAATCACAGGTCAAACCTTAGTTTAGACTGTTTTGTCATGATCATTACGAGAAGATTAGCCTAAAAACGTACTGAATAAAAAATATAAAATAATAATAAGAAGAAAATGGGTCTTAAAGACTAGCTTTTTCACAAACTACATTCTTTCTGGCTTGTTTAGAGGAAGGGAAAATGGAGCTTAAATAGAGAAACTGATAGCCTTTTTAAAAATAAAAAAATAAAAAAATCTTGAAGATACTCCCATTATCTTGCTCATAATCATGGCCCCGAAAAATCCTCCTCTCTAGGCCTCCATGTTTGTTGCGGTATGCTCTTGCTTACAAGAAAGTATACAGTGCTAGCCTACCTTTTTGAACACATTTGATTCCACAGAAGAGCCCACAAAAAACATTGTCATCACTCCTTTCACAGAGAAGACCCTACCAAAAACATCTCTCAAGTGAGAATTTGCTTCTACAATGAAGAATCTGTGGACTAAAAACAGCCTAGCACAGCAATAGCCAATCATCATGAAGGAATTGAACACTATTACATCACAAAAAAAAATTGTTTTATTTTACGCCTCAAGACATCATACAGGGAATGTGTAACAAAATAGAGAAGATTACAGTCAAGAGAGTTTGTAATGCCTTGTCTACTGCACTCATTCTACAGCTTTTGAAGCTGATTAATCTTGAACCACCCGCTGCGTTACCTGGATTGGTTGTGTTCACCACCGTCCTCGCCTTATTCGTTATTTTTTTGCTGCATCCGATGTTGGAAAATTGGTGAGAAATTGTTGCAAGGTGTTTTCATTAAGTAATGATTTTGCTTTTTGCACTTTCCATCACTTTTGACTACCAGGAAAAGGAATGCAAAGATGCAGAAAAGGAACCAAAGTGTGATGTCCTTTTGAATAAATTAGGCCACCAAGTAGAAAAGAAGAGTTTCTTACCTTCCAGGAAATATACAGCTCCCATGACCTGCCAACAAGGAGAAAAGATGTTAGGTTTGATAAACATAACAGGTGAAAAAATATTACAAATAGGACTCATTTTCCTCAACGTAACAGTCATTCGGTGGATAAAGAGCAGTGATGGAGTTTCTTGCAATAGTATATATAAAAGAAAGAGGATAAATGGCCTTGAACTGTTGTTACTGTCCTGTCCTGACTCTATGGGGCTCCCTTGGCATATAGGTCCAAGTTCAAATCATAATTTCCTAGGTTGGCTGTTTCACACAAAATGTTATTCCATGCCCTTTCCACAATCCAATCACTCAAGAAACCATGTGACTATGTCAGGTAGGAATCACACAACATGTACCCTTGAAGTCACCTCAAGAGTATCCCCCGAGGATTACGATGGTGCCATCATTCACTTTCCTTTAGTGGTGTCGCAGAAGGCAATTAGCACCTTTTTAACTTTTAATCCTAAATACTTGAGCTTAAGGTATCTGTTTAACCACTCAAGAGCCTTAATGCACTTTTAGTAGATGTACGGCATACTATTTGGTTGTCTAAGCAGTAACCACACATTCAATTTTGCATACAGACAACAGTTAAATAACGATCTATTGAGGACGAAATTTGAAGATCAGATCCTAAACTTTGTTAAAGTTCAATGAAATATGAAAGAACCGTGTTTATTCAAGGCAATAAGAGTGAAAAAAGCTTACTTGGATCGGTAGTGGTGGTCATGGCAATGCCCTTGAAATCACAGGACCCAGAAGCCCTTCCTTCCTTCTGGTAATAGCTATCAAATGCATAAGAGGCATGGTTCTTAACATTGTTAGGCTGATAACAATTCTCCCCTGGCTGAATCTCACTACAATTAGCCCTTCCTGGTCCACATACCCAATCCAATGCTGCTTGCAATGTCTTTGAATCAACACCATCCATAACAATACAATATGTTTGGTTGGTTGTATCATTAGCCAAGAATGTCCCACTTCCAGATACATGAAGCAAATAAACTGGAGTCGCATTTGCATAAAACAATCCCCAATTTGCTTCTGATACCGGTGGTGACCTCAAGTCCTCATTGAACAACTCATATAAGTACACACTAGAAGTGATTTCTGGGTGCAAAGGAGTCCCGGTACGATCAAGAACATGCTTAATCAAATTCGAATTATAAGTATCTGCATTATCAATTGTAGCATAAGGTTCTTTTGAATCACCCTTTGAAGGCCAACCACTCTCGGTAACAAGAACCACAACATCAGTAAAATTCATATTCTTCATCGAAAAATAAGCAGCATCAACCATAGCATCAAGAACATTAGTGTAATGCAACAAAGTATTAGGATCAACCATTTCCTTGGATGGTGTCAAGGGCTTGAACAAAGAATTATCAAGAGGCACCACTCCTTTATTTTGCATAAACACATAGTAAGGATAAAAATTCATCATCAAAGGTGACCCAGTTCTTGATAAAAAATGAAGCAAAGGTTGAATAACCGAGATCCAACTCTGATTAAAAAAAGACTGAGAAGGTGGAAATGAATCAAGAATTATAGAAGCAGAGTGTGGAGTTGAAATCTTTATCTGATTATGCAAATTTTCAGCCACCAAAGCATTATAAAGAGACTCAATAGCTGGCATAAGCAAAGGAGCTGAAGAGGGTACTGTAGTTAAAACCTCATCACCAACAGCAATTGCAGTAATTACAGTCTGTGGATAATAAGCAACGACATTTTTACCAATCCAAGAAGCTGCAGTTGTATTGGAAGATCCAATAGCAAGAAGCTGATTATTTGGAACACTAATAATGACCCGGATCTTGGTTTTAGCCAAGGCCTTGAGGATGTCGGGTTCTGCATCATAAAGCTTGATATGTGTAACCTTTTGAAATTGTAGAAATGAAACAAGTTCTGTAGCTGACATAAGATTGGACACGTCTTCTCCAATGTTGATTCCCACAAATGGCTCATTGTCTTGTTGGTCCTTGATTTGTGCCACTGCTATTTTTGATGATAAAGCTGCAAATTTGCCAGAAAAACATTAGAAACTCTACAGGGATTCTTCTTAGTTTCTTGAAATAGTGAATATACAGGTGGGGTTTTTTCCCATTACCTTGTGATGATATAAAAAAAGAAATGTACAGGAGGAAGAAGACACAGCAGAGAGGAAGCTTAGACAGTGCCATAACTGAAGAAGAAATTGAGCTTCACAACGTCATCTTCTGGTTCTGGTTCAGCTAAAGGTTCTTGCATTTGTAGGCTTAATTTTTTCGTTTTCTGAGTGAATTTTCTTGTTGGGTTTTGGTTTGGCTTTGGAGTTGGAGTTGGCTTTGTTGACCTCAAGAAATCTTCCAGTATCTAACAAGAATCAAGAAAGCAATCCCATGAACCTGCTCACGAGATGAATTAAATTGTTCGGGAAACTTCAAGAATACCCCTAAGTAGATTACTAGTTTCAATTTCGTCCCCAAACAAAATTTTATTCCTTCAGCTTCAGTCATTTTCAACTAAATCTTTCCATTCATGTTTGATCATGGCTTCCATCCACATCATAATTTTCTTTTACCTCTTTATTTTAATTTTTTTCATCCCATATAACTCTTTTTTTTTTTTTTACCATTGTTACCATGTTTCTTCCTTTAGTGTATAAGATTTGTTTTATACATGATTTTCTAATATTATGGAACGTACGAGTAAAATGAAGTTTTTTACGATTTTGGAGAATATTATTGTCCTTGTTAGTCTATTTTTATTTTCTAAATTTTATTTTTTTTAAATTATTTTTAAAAATTTATATATATATATTTATTATTAAAAAAATTGATCAATAAAAAACACTTTCAAGTAAAAAACAATTTTAATTTGGTTTCTAAAAAAGTATTTTTTTGAAAAATTTGGATGGAAAACATTTTCCTAAAGTGATGAAAAAATTTAAAATATCATATTATTTACTCATTATATCAAATTTGATCCTTAAATTTTTAATTGCTATATTTTTTATGAATATTTATTTTTCAATTTCATCTCTTAAAATTTAATTTTTATATTAAATTTGATTCTTATTTTTATAATTATTATTTTTTATATCATTTTTATAATTGATTTTTTTCTAGCTTTATCCTTCAATATTATTTTAATTTATAGATTGAATTTTTTTTTTCTAATGTAGTGATCCTTAT